AGTGGTCCTAGCAATGGGAGCGTTAGGATATGAACATTTCCGAAGTAGAAAGTTTAAAAAACATTGAAAGGATGGAAGGGAGAATGAATTTACATCCTATCAATTGAAATGGAATGCTTTTAGGAAGGAATCCTGTAAAATTCCATAAATTTCAAGCAAAGTATATAGTGGTTTATGATCGGTGCCATCAGAAGCCAATAACGGATTAGTTCGACGGGACAACGTTTTGATATTTTTATTTGATTTCGAAAAAAAACTTTACCATATGTGCAACTGTGGGAATGTTCTTCCAGCTTTATTATTGGATTAAATGAATAATCAGTGTAAATTTACTTCGTTTTCGTTCATGCTTAGAAATTAATGTTAGTCCTAATAAGTTGGGAAATTTTTGATTAGGGGACTCAGTGTTGATGAGAAGTAATCGAATTCCCTGCAGTATCCCTCATAAGATTATCTTCCACAACGGCTGTCCGCATAGTTGTAAGATATTCTCAAAGTTTCAAGAACCAAAAGAATTCAGAAAATTCCCTTATGTAGATGAGATTTATCCAAACAAATAAATGATGCATAACTTTTTTACAATATTGTCGAATTCTCTTATGCTATATGGTGAAGTTTTTCGATCTGTTTAATTAGTGAAATTTCAATTCTGGAAGATGTTTTTTTAGCATAAGTAGGAGCTTGACAATATTAGCATAAGTAGGGTTGTATAAATATAGAAGATAACTTTTGATTTTGATATATAAAAACTTGCTCTAAATCAGGAAAATTTGAAAACAGGAAAAAATCAAGAAATCAGGAAAATTTGCTCTAAATCAGGGGAAAGATTGTAGACAACTAAGTAAGTGATATTTTATTGCTAATGTTTCGGAATTATGGATTTAGTTTTAGAAAATGAACAGGTGAAAAGCTGTATAATGATATATCGGGGAGTGTATAAACTCGCTGACACTTCTGATCATAATTTTTAGATATAATAGCTGAATAGAATATTCCTTTCTTCCTTAATATTTTTTCTTTTAGTCCTAGGCAAATTTTCTTATATGATGGAATGTAAATATACTTTGACATTGTTTAACTTTGATATTTGTATCATGCTATGTTTTAGGACTAAAACTTTCGAGAATTCTGGAAACCAAATTTCAATAATGTAGAAATATCTTTAAATAGAGGTATTAGGAACTTTGGATTCCAACTTAAAAAAACATAATATCAAATTGGGCCGTATAGTTTTCAATTGAAATTCATCCAACACCAAATAATTTGAATGACCCTGCAAATTATTTTCATTGAATCAATAGCGTCAGATTTACGATAACCTGAAATTTGTCTCATGATGTAAATTGTCATTAAATATTTGGAGCGCAATGTTTTTTAATATTCGTTTTCATTTCATTTAATGCTACTAGTTTGGCAATATATCATATGAATTTGTGAACGCCATATCCACGTAATACTGTTCTTTGTAAGCAGTCCTGCAACTGATAGTATTTATTAAAACTTGCAGTAAGTGTTTGTAAATGTTATCAACTTGTAAATTATGTAAGGATCAAAAAGGCTTTTTATTACAAGAAAAATTATCAACTTGTAAATTATATAACGATGGAAAAGACTTTTCATTACAAGAAAAAAATCGATAATTTTGACAATATTTTTCCGGAAAAAGAGAAATTACTATGAATGATTACATATTCTTATTTTCAATTTTCAATTACAGAATTAAAATATCTTGTAGCAGGAATGAATGGATTTGAATTTTGTTTTGCTTCCCCCTTTTTTTTCTATCTCAGAATTTTAACTTTTTACTGTTCCATTTAAATCATCCATTTTATTAATATCCACCAAATAAATGTCTGTTGTAATTTTGCGCGGTCATGTTCTATCATTAAAATTATGTTCATAAGCGGAGTATTGGATGATATAATTTTTATTGTATGTTCATGTGTGCATCACACAACAGTTCTATTTTTTTACTTTCCTGATCTCACGTGGTGTACGCTTAATTTTCTTGTATTGAATAATTAATGTTATCAATTTCATGTTTCAAATACTCTTCAATTCATTCTCCTTTCCTCCCTCCTCCACCACATTACGGTTATGAAATGATAGCTAAGGATAACAGCTGAGAAAATATTTCTCTAAATTATTCAAATATTGAAATTGAAAACTAAAAAATATAGAAAAAAAAGAAAGCTCCACAAATGACAGATAGGAAAAGGACAAGCCATCGTTGTATGCTAAACCATTATTACATAATATCAATCTCTGCCATTTTTTTTTTTGATATTTTTGCAGTTTTCATCACCACTTCTTTTTTTCTTCATATGGTAGATCATTTGACACATTGTTTCCAGGAGACATTAATTAAATGTCAGAAACATTTGACAATCAATTTATAGTTCCATCAAAAACTAACTTTTAAAATTTTGTACTGAATGCTTTTCCTGTAATTGTATTATTTAGCTTTTTATTAGCCCTCTTTATTGCTTCCTAGTCATTTTTTTTTTCTTAAACTACATTTTTTTTTTCATTTTTTTTTCTTAAACTACATTTGTGGTGCGGGTTTGTGAATTTAATGCCTGAAGTTCAATTCTTCTTCAATCTGGACTATTTCTTATCATTCATAATTTAGTCTCATCATCAATTCTAACTTAGATCTCTGAAGTTTAATTTTATAAACTTGAAATGAATTTTTCTTTGCAGACAAGTTCCCTCTAATTCTTCTTGGCAAGAAGGAAAAGTAGTTGTTATAACACATTGTTTTTCACCAATCAAGAGATTATTACTTCAACCTTTGAATAAATGACTGCAACACATTATTGGCTTCCTTCCATAGATACATTTGTTTCCTTTTTCTAAATTAATTTGTATGATAGTCCACTTCCCTATTCCATTGGATCTTTGAATTTTAATTCCCAGTATGATAAAAACAATTCTCGTTTCTCGATTAAAGGTTTCTTTTTTTTTTTTGCCTAGTGATATGTGATTTGTTTCATTTCATGCTTTGCATGTGTTATGTAAAATGCTAACTTCATATCATATACAATTGAATTTGTATCATTTCGTTAACTTTAAAGTAAATCGATGATGGGTGGGCCAATATGATAAATTCATTTAAGACTTTATTGATGGTGATCTTAATTTGCTCATTATTGTTCATGTCGATTATTTTGATGGGACGCTTGTCACAGCTTTATAATATTGTTCCCTTTGAATGTATGCGCAAGTTATTTTAATTTCATATAAGTAGGGAAGAAAAATGAATGGGACCGAATAGGAATAGTAATATGTCAATATTTATGCAGTCTCTCTGACTGGTGCCTTTGCCATTTGTATCAGTAATATTAGCCAGTAGAATTAAGATGCTATCCGGTCGGAAGGGACACTTATCAAAACGACCATTACTTCCCGAAGAATTAATGTATCCTTCAGGAAACTAATCTTTTACTCTCATATTGATCCCGACTGTACACGTTTTGAACATAATTCCTAAGATAATTATATTCAGTCTGTTTTTGTTTCTAAGGACACGTACGTATTGGCGTCGTTTTCATTTCTATGTCAATTTGATAATTTTTCTAACTTCCGCAGAAATTAATTATTGGAAATATGTACGAGTAAATGTTGCGCGTAGTTCGTTTTTCTTTCCTTTTTTCTAAGTTGTCGAGTTTTACAAGTCTTGGAATACGTTATTATTCTCTTCAATACATTGTTTTGAAAAAAGAAAATCGATAAATGGATCAGTGTAGATATATTACACATTATAGAGGGGTGATGCTGCGGAAGTTTGCAATTCAATTTGTGAAATTTTATAGCGTACACCTTTAAGCCATTGTTGCAACGGTTCGGAATTCAACGACGGTTGGTTTTCGCAAGAATCCAATTTTAATCGTAATTTACTGGGAATCTGTGCATGGTAAGCGGTTAGGATCGGTTGCCACATGGCACCCAGTTGGCCAAGTACCGCTGAGCTACACTGTCGCAGGGCTTGCATTGTATTCAGGAAATGTAAATTAACCATATCTGCTAGCTGAAATTACTTGACAGTATGCACGATGACGGAAACCAAACGATTAAATCAAAGTTTAAAAAGTCGTTCATTCGGGAAGTTTTGCGAAGAATAACTGAAAGCGCGAAAAGAAACATATTGTCTGGACGGCATTATCATTCCTGGGATTTCCTTTAACAGAAATACTGAAAGGTAATAGTTGTACCTACGGTGGTTAATTATTAGGTCAGAAAGTCGATATTATGTTTGTCATTCTAAACGACTGCGTGAAATCCCAATGATTAAGTGAATGTACCACTTTGGAATGTGATAAAAGCTGTAGAATAGCTGGTGTTACTCGAGCCCAGAAATCCAAAATATTCGCTAATGAGGGGAGTTGAGGATCGTCTGATGTTAGCGTAGCTCGTTCGCAGTAAACAGTCCACAGTTGACACAAATGAAAAGCATGAAAAAGTGCTGACATATGGACGACTGATTCCTGAACAATAGTTGGAAATTTTCGAATGTTTTTTTCTTTTCAAGAAACTCAAAAGATGAACTATAATTTCTATGCAAGTCAATAAAAATCCAAAAAACATATCTACGAGATTCAAATTATTAGTCTTTTAACTTTGGAATAAATAAAATTAAAAATTAAAGAGGAGAAACGAATACCTTTGATTGATCAGCAAAACCAGCCAGTACAAAATGGATGTAATCAGCCATGTATTGTGAGCAATTAATTGGTATCGGTAAACATGGTTGATTAGCCTGAAGTGCTCCAAGTAATAGCCATGAGAGTAATCGTACGTTTGTTACAGCTTCCGCAAACGTACTTGGCGTAGATTGCGTCACGGATGGCGGTGACATTAACCATGACAGGTAACGATTCTGCAACACACAGTTCCTCTTTAAAAAGTATATATGGTCAACACTTAATATATGTTAATCTTATCAATTTATCATTGCAGAAATCAAGTTTCCTTTTTTGCTTGATTTCAACTATTAAATGTTATCATTCAGTTTATTTAAATATATCTCAATAAAACAGAAAGTATCTGAAAAAGAAAATATTATAATACTTATGGAAGAAGTATTAACAGTTAAATTATAATAAGCATTTCACTGATATGACCGTCCAATCGATTGATAATTATAACCAAATTTAACATTAGTTTGCAAGTAAATAAAAGAATATAAGCGTATGGAATGAATGAAACAGGAGATATAAAAGTTTTTTTTTTTGTCGCAGTGAAAGATGACATAAGTGACAACCGGATTTCAGGAAACGAAAATCGATGTGTGCACAATTCTCATAGCTATGCTCGGAAAAGAATTAGGATGTGTGTGTAATATATATGGCTGAACGAATTGTTTCCGAAAGTAATTAGATATTTATAAGAAAAAATGAAGCAGAAATAGCGTCATTTTATTTGCATACAATATTGAAATTCTTCATTGCGAATCAATCAAGCATTTATTCCTTCATGATTAAATATGATAAGGCATTTGTCAAAAATTTGGAGATATCAAAAAAAGGTCTAAAGATCAACTTTAAATTAACTTTGATTTCCCATTAATTGCTGTCATTATTTTGACTTCGCATTTTTCAGTAGTTTATTATCTTATACCATAACAACGTATTCTTGTTGTCACCTCCAAGTTTCGCTTAAAACCAGAAACAAACGTAATTACAGTACATTTGTTAAGTGCTTCTGTCATGTTAATTCACGTGTTATAAATTTATGCTACATTTACGTATTCATGTTTAGGTTTTAGTTCACGAAGTCATAATGTCTGTAATGAGAGTTAATTCTTGTTTACATTATTCGTCTGAACGTGTCTGAACGGCTCACCTTGTCTCTATGAGTTATGATTAACATCCCATTTCTAAAAGATTTTTGATTTAAAAGAGGAGACGTGATCTTGTTTATAATATAATAATAAATGGCTGAAAACAGCAAAAACAAATGTTCTCATCACGTCTGCTTTTTCATCTGTCCTCTCTCAGAAACTGTCCCCAAAATGAGCGGGTGATGTTACATTTCATCGTCATCCAAGATTCAGTTACATTTTTCACCCAGTTCCTCTGAGACTAACATTCAAATTTATTCTTACAAGCTATTTCTGTCACAGAATTTTAGCCAATGTATCGTTATTAGCGTTGTCAAGAAGGCACAAACAACAGGTCACAATAAGATTAATGAAGAAATATTTGGGTGGAAAAAAAAAAACTAGTAAAAAAGAATAATAGGCCTCAAACAATCCAAAGAGAAATCTATTGGAAAAAAGGAAGGATCACGAAAATCTTGTTCTTATTAATTAACTTGTCTTGGTTCCATTAAAAAGTCGCCTTCAAGTGGTTAAGGCCTAAACAGCCTTATCACTCATATTAATCCTACGAAGTGGTAGAATAAGCTTATTACCGACGTTAGCTTCTTAATGATAGAAGTTTGTAAGAAATAATGGTAGAGTTACCACAGTTCGAGAATCACGCACACCTGATCGGCTCATTTCAACACCAACAATTTGTGCCACTGATGATTTGATATCGCCACCAATGCTATCAGAATTAGTGATTTTCTAGAAGAGTTCCGATTTGATTTGAAATTTAAATCATTCCGATAAAGGAAAACAGTAAAAAATTAAGGATTTAAGAAAAAAATAGCATTTTAAAGAAAATGTTAACAAACTATGAATATTTTATAATTGTTATATTTTTAAAGTATAGATATACACGCACTTTAATTTCAGTCAGCACATGTAAATCGGATATAAAATCAATAAAATCAAAGATATGTGGTCGGACTGCATCACAAGCTGCCGTATTATACTGAAAGTTTACTTTTGTTAGTAAGAATAACACACAGAAAATTGTTCTAATTAAAGTTGATTAACAAGAAAATCCAAAAATCTCATCTATCAAGATGAGAGGAAAGATGAGTCTTTTCCCTTAAATAAAAAAATTATTGTGATGACAAATCTATACAATGAGAGATAGCAGCAAATAAAAAGTGGAACACGTTGATTAATTAATTAAAATTTACATTTACTTATTGAATAGAAAAGAGAAAATCTAATGGCTAGTCAAAGAACCTTTGTTGTATAAAACTTATCAATCTATCAAGTATTCCGCTTAATAAATATCCTGTTAATTACTCAAATAAGCATTAAGATTATAGTTCAAAGCCATGACCTTTACCTGATCATCAGCAATTTCTTCTGAAACATCTTCACCAGCATCTTGCAATATCAATTCGATCACTACCATATAATTATGCTCATTCATATCACATTTAAATTTCAATGCTTGCACAAGCTCCGAGACAATTGCTTTTGTCAAAAATTGCTTATCTCGATCCTGCAAGTTTTTTCCAAGAGGAAAACCTGAATAATTAACATCCAATAGTAGTATTATCGTTACTAAAACTTGAAACAAATTAGTAGTTGGGGATGCATAAAAGCAAAGAATTAAGTGAAAAAAATATTTAAAAAAATTGATTTGAAAAGAAAAAATAAATTTACCCTTAATAGGGCTCGATTACATGCCGTACAAACAGCCAAAAGATCTAATAGATCAGCTTTGCATTCATGTAATGCTTCTGTAAGCCACTTGGAAAACACCTCTACAAGCGATACTGAGCTCTATAATAATTATTGAGCTAATGAATTGAATCATACCCTTGTCTTCCTTTGGGTCTCTTAATTTCTTCACTCAGTTTCTATCACTTTAATTTCCTCAATAATTTCATTGAAAATAAACTTCTTTCAAGTTACCAATACCATAAAATGGATCAAAAAAAAAAAAAAATTAGAACCTTAAATGTGGAAAAGTTATGCACTCGTAGAACAGCTACCATTATGCCGATACAATTTTTGAATTCAGTACGGATCGGATTTCTATCAGTCTGCACTTGAATCTACAAATTCAATACTTACAACATATTTCTGATTTAATTTCGGTAGCAAAAATTTAGAGAATTATCAGCTAGAAAGAGATTAAGCGATCGATTAGGATGTGAATGGTTCTATTAACCACTGAGAAAGTTTGAGGCGCAAAGACCGAAATGGTCAAAAATCAATCATTTTTTCCAGTAGATATTACAGGATATTTCAACAGAAGACGACTGATGTAAAAGGAGAAGGGACAATGATTATGCAGCGCTGACGTATCTGAAGTGTAAACAAGACAAGAAAATTGGCATTAGCGGGGAAAATTTATGGAGAAGAAAGTGAAAATACTAACTTTGGAAAAATACTGACGAAAGAATGAATCGAGTAGATTAGTAACGATATTCCAATGCGAGAAATATGCATCAGGTGATACATATTCGACATACGTTGACAAATTAAACAAAATTCGGGATAACCGATTGGGCCAGTCTTCTAGGATGTCCTGAAATAACTTCCTCCAATTTTTTTCTTTCCATTATTATTAAGATTATTATAATGCTATCATACTGTACCATTCAAATGATCTAATCAGTGCTTCGAATTTCATGTTGTTGACTCAAATTTTAGGAATTAGTAAAGAATTATAATCGAAAATTCGGAAAAAACTAGAAAAGAAAACTAACTTCTAACAAATACTGGATAACAGAAACTGGATTTAATTCAGGGAAATCAGCCAAAGCGAATGATATTGTAGACCAGAACTGACTGACTCGTTCAATATTTATATCAAACAGTTGCAAGAATATTCCGCTTGATGATAGCTGGAAAGTTTCCTATATTTCATCAAAGTAATTATAAATTCCTCGTACAATCTAATGTAACTATTTCTTGCTGGGAAACCCAAAGAGAAAAAACTTTTTGAAAAACCAATAAAAATTTTCAAATTTTCTAGTAGTATAAAATACAAACTTGATGTAGCAAAACACGAATTAACTGCTTTGCAACACTTCGACAATTTCCGGCAACAAATACCAATGTATCGTGCCATGGATATAATGGTCTTTCAATTAGTCTAAATATTACAAACTATTATAACTTGTCACGAATTTCCGATGATAACTTTCTACAGTACTTTTCTATTCCTTCTTTATCGCCTGATAGCTGTAGCAACCTGGTAACAGTATTGATGATACGGAAGAGCAGAGGTGCTGCCATCGCTGGTTCTCGATGAACAAACGTTTCCAACGAAATCATACACAACGACAGCGTTTCTTCATCAAAATTTCCGAGCAATTCATTGCAGTAACCACATCGATAAGTACGTCTGTCCATGATTACGTTATTCGTTGCTATAATAAATATATGTTAACGTAAGTTTTTTGTTGACGATAATATTTTAGGAATTAAAGATGTCAGCTTTGCAATATAATTTCTTGAATAGAAATTAAATGATTTCTGATAGGAGACTTTTGATAATCTTCTTCATTACTCTTATTTAACTCTTGCATAATAAAAGCTATTTATGCCAAGTTAATCTTGAATTAATTAACACTAAGATATAAATTATCGTAAAGAAACTTTTCCGGTAACGATGCTTTGTTCGATCCGCTTGCTTCCTACCATCCTCAATACCTTCTTCGTCAATCGCTTCCAATTTTCCTTCATTTACCTGAAACAAATGAGATCTTCGTTATGATCCACATGTATCTAATTTAGTTTCAATTCAAGAAAATCGAAAGCCAACCGGAAATTTGAAGGTGAAATCAAATCCATTAAATCTTGATGTGCAATTTGAAGAAAAACTAATTCATATAATAATTCATGAATATCAACTAACAGAAGAAAAATTTGTCGTAAATAATTTTAATTGCATTTTCAAAAGATCAGCTGACTTTAAGATTACAAAGTGAGATAATTTCATTCCTTCCATTTTCATCCTAAACCAAAATTCTTTTCAAATCACTATGAATAACTTACATCAACGACAGAATTAGCTCTTGAGCATAGAACAGCAAGGGTTTCAGGTCGATGTAATTTATCAGTACCACAATCACTTTCCAAGTCTTCCTCATCAGAACTTGATAGTGGATCCATTTCAATCTTTATCGGTGGTGCTTTTATATTACAGACATGAACCTTTAAGATATTTTAATAAAATTTAAATTATAGAAAATATCGAATAAGATACCGACGAAAACTTTCTCTTTCAAGAATTTTAATTTCTTTCACGAAACAATGATTCAGAAGGAATAACAGGATAACGGTGTAACATCCGGAATGAGTTACCTCAGCTTCAAGAGTGCAGATAATTATTGAGACAAGTTTTTGCAAATATTCGCTAAGAGGTGGTGCATCGTATCGATACTACAAATACATCATATCAGTGCTCAAAATAATTGTCCACTTTTCAAATTGCAATCAAAATGACACCGAGTCAAGGAAAGTTAATAGTTGAAGAAGTGTAAAACAAAAAAGCTCGAAATAGAATGGGTAGTTAACTAATTAGTTAATGGGCAAAATAGTGGACAAAAGGAAAACAAATAGAATTTTCTGTCTGTCGAATTCAATATTCTCTGGATGGTAAAACTGTATTTTTACGTTAAGCGCTTATCCGTACGTCCCTAATTTAAAAACTCTTTTTTTTTTTTAAATGAATAACTTGAAAATAGGAAGACTATTCACATGGGAAAAAATCCTTACTTTAACTTTCTAAACGATTATAACACATATTAATACACCAACAAATTATAGTTAATGTGAATATTTAAAAAAATTGTAGAATTTCAGGGACCTTATAAAGGATAATAATGACTGCGTTGAGCCAGAAATGCCGAGCGCTAACGTCTAATAATGTAAGTGAATATTCAACCAATGGTTGATCACTGGCCAGTTTTTGAGGAGATGGCAAATGAAGCAGGAGTTGTACGCCAAGCATCAAAATCTGTGACATATTTGTCATTTCAAATTAACCTTTATTAATACCGATTTTAGCCAAAATAGCAGTAGTAATTCTCGAACAGTCTAAATTAATTTTTGTGATGATTGCTAAAACTTAATGCTATCATTTATCGATAGCAGTTTAGCCAATACAAAAATGCTCCATACCAACATCAAAATGATTTTCCATTGAGTATTTTAAGCTAATTAGTTTTCTTACCTGATTTCCCACCACCAAGTTGGAATCCAAAATTTCCGGCAAACCACTTAAAAAGCTATTGCACACAGTTGATTTGCTGAAATTTTATTCATCAGTTCTGACTAATATAAATGTATTTCTTTTATTTAATTTTAAAGTTGAATAAATTCAATTGCAAACAACTTTAACTGATTTTATTAATGAATTTAATTTAATTTACTTCGTAATCACTTGCACAGCAATAAGGAAGTTAGCCATAATTAGTCAAAATGTAGAAAAATTAAATTTAAGTGCTGAACAAACCGTAATATCTTGGGTGGTATGGTGAAGCATTTCTCGGAGTTACTGTAGCCAATGAGTGCATTGAAATGTCGAAAAAGCAAACTTTGCTTTTTAGCATTTACTTTTTCATCACCGCTTTTGTTTTTGCAAAGGAACGATACAAATAACGAAACTGTCAGGTAGACAATGTACCGTTCCGGATTGTCGATATCAACCACTCGATTCATTAACAAACACATATTACTCTCCTCATCCGTAAATTCTCGTGGACGTGAAAACGTTCCTAAAATTAGTCATATCTATCGAGAGATTATAACTGTAGAAGCTTTGTGTTGGTAAAATTTGTGACAGTTCATAATATCAAGTAACAATTCGAGTTAGTATGTCATCAACTCAAATACTAATTCCATTGAGCAGAACTTTTTTACAACTTCATATCATTGAATGTTTGTTTTAGTAATTTTGCCATAAAAGAACGAAGCGGTCTTTGAAGCGATCAGTGAATACAGTGGGATTGAAAAAATCAAAAACTAATTAAAAATGAATTCAAATTCAGTACAATTCAAACATTTGAAATAATATATCTGAAGATAAAACCTACCGCTAGCATGCGATGAACTATGCAACGATTCTTTCATTTCTTCCGCTGAAAAGAAAGAAGAATTTGCAATAAGAATTTCTATCAAAAATATGGGGGGAAAATATATGGGAAAGGGTAATATAATATAATATAATGCAATAATTTCTAAGTGCTAGAGGGTAATATGCTAAGTGAAAGTGTGCGTTGGTACAAGTAATAAGTTTGAATTCACCTATAAGCTTAATTTTAGTCGCGAAAATTATGAAATGAAAAGTCCGAAATGCTAATTATAATTATATTTTAGAACTGCCAAAAGATCTTCAGTAATTATTCAATATAAAAGAAAGCAATTTGATTAAAATCATGATTAATTCTTTCGCAACATGGGATGATGAATTATCATGACTTTTTCTTCAGCCAAATTACTTTATACTTACGAAATACAAGTACCCGGTAATCGAACAGCAACATTCGGATAGAGTGGACAAAATTAGAAAGTAAGCATTAATTAATATAAATACTGCTCTGGTAATAAAATTTCAACGATCTCTTCTTGTATCTAATTCTTTTTATTCCATTAAATTTCAGTGACAGGTTGATATTGGGGACAAAGGGTGCAATGGATGAGTATTGTGCATCATTCGCGACTATGCCGTGCACCAAGAACATGATATGATATGATGATATTGATGAGTACATACAATTCGTAGGTCGAGCCAAAGCTGATACGGTATTTGTAAGTGATTGTAGATGCTTTGAGAATCTCCACGCAGTGATAATTTTAACGACAGTAGCCAAATGACGAATCTTCCTTTTACCACTGATTAACGCATTTTTACGTCTTTTCATTTTACCATACTTCAATTCAGCAACAAATTTCCCTTTAGTCGATTAGTTACTAATTAGCTGATTGCTTAATTCCAATCTCTACTTCGATTTTAACCGTTTTTTTAATGAGTTGGGGGTAATCTAAATCACTTCAATCATCATAGTAATAAGTTAGCTTACAATTATGGTAAGAATTATAAATATGACAAATTCTCAAATAGTTTCTAATCTACCTCAATGACTGGGCACATTTTAAGGGCTTATCTATTCTTCCTAAAAAATATCAATGATAGATAAATCACTTGACGTGAAGAAAAATGATATCATGATTGATATGAAAGATTGGCATCAATTACTGAATAGCTTATAGCTCATTAATGCATAGCAAATATGCATAGATGACTTTGAAAATTGAGCATACAGAACTCGATTGCTCTTATTTTCCAAATGAATGATACGGTATTTTAGATGATTACGTTGGAAAAGAAATAGAAGCAAGAAACGAAGCTTAAAAGTTCAATTTCGATGATATCATTCCCAGTCTTATTTCTTACGCGGTCCTTCCAAATAACAAAATATCTTTTATACATTCCGGTTTGAACAATTTTGAGGAATCAGCAATTACCATATTTGTTTTGATATTATATATACCGTTCAAGCCATATTTTTTCATGATACTGTATCCGATTTACTAAATTTTTGAAAGATGAAAGAAAATAGTTGCTTGAAAAATGGATGAACAAGACTTTGCCTTAATTAATCGCTTGTAAATTTGTTTTGTTGTGCAAATTTTGGATAACATACATGATGGCCGAAATGTTGCCGTATTGAGCTGATGCCACATTGAATTATTCAGTAAAGTTCGAACGATCGATCGAGCATTGGAGCTATTCTCAATGATCTGACGGGCACGAGTTACTTTTCGCTGGTACAATTCACTTAATGGATCCGAATGAGTCAGATCTGAATTTCAATTCCATTTAATTTTCATTTACATTTTCCTAATTTCTGCTCAAATTCCATCATCTTTTGTACTTTCCAAATTCAATTACCACAAATTCAAAATATCACTCACTGTATTTTTCAAGTAAAGAATAAAACAAAAGATTCAACAATCGAGTAAACTCATTTTTAAACTGAACTATTTTACTGAATAAATAAACAAAAAAAAAAAAGAAGGAAGCAATGAAATTTATAATAATAAATAATTTTTCGGATAACTTAATCAGAATGTGAGTTAATGTGACTTCATTTGAACTATCTGACCCACAATCTATACATCTGCATCTCATCGGATGGCCCTTCACTGAATGGTACTAGGTGAAGTTTTAAAAGAAAATAGGACAGTAAACACATTTTGAGGTAAGTAAACGCATTTAGCGCAGATATACGAAGTTTAAAGTCATCATTATTAAATAGCTTCTAAGAAAAAAATAAGAAATAACAACCATGCACAAAGTTAGATTCGTTATTCTTCATAAGAATTTGACTCTCAATAGCAAGTCCTTCAAATCGCTGAATAAAAAACTCCCATGTCAGAATCTCCTCATCCGGAACGATTGATGTAAGTTGCTGGATTCTGGTGATAATTAATGCTCGATCCAGAATTGAACTATCAAATTGTGATTCCAAACAAAGACACATCAACTGCAATATGTTTAATATATAGGTATTAAACTTCAAAATTTAAATTCACTGTCATTTTTTTCCACTTCAAATTAAACAGCTTCTACGAGTGCCGAGAAAGTTTAGCAGAAGAATTTCAAGATTATCCAAAAACAAGTCAGATTTTTCGATACTATAGGAAATGATCAACATTAATAGAGAAAACATTTATTAATCATAATAAAGATTAAAAACAATAATATTCACTCAACAATTACTACCAGTAACCTGAGTAACAGAAAGATTAAAAGGAATGTTCTTTTTTTTAGATAATAATTACATCTAGCTAGATTTACATCCACAACAGATAATGCTCTATTAGATAAACTAACTAATTAACTAGCTAAGTAATAAATTAATCGTAATTTTTCAACCTTTAAAGAAGCCGAAGGCATATGCTGAATGGATAGTAATGCCTGTTGAGCAACAGCTACATTCGGATCATCTACTGATGCAATCAGATGTGTAATACAACAACTTAGGCTCGTTTGAATTACCTTGTTTGAGTTAATCGGCAAAGCATTCGCTAATTGGAGAAGTACACTTGATCGTTCCACTACAATGTCATATTAATACATCTTTCCTTATCCATCACCAGGCACAGAGTTATTAAAACTTAAAAAAGGAGAAATCTAGTAGCGCCAAAGCACAATTATTAAATGAAGCTAATCTTTTCTTTTTACTGAAATTACATAGAAAAAAGAGAACTAATATAGTTAATGGAAGACGGAATAACGATTAAAAATGGAAGAAAAATAATAATAATTAGAGCTTATTAATAATAGTAAGATTTTAGAGCTACAAGATTGTTTTCTGTTAAGAATAGACGAACGAAATTTATTTTGTAATTAATTAACCAGCTGAAAATCGTTCCTCCCATCGTTGATCGATGAACTGTGAATTAACCACTTTCCAGAACATCTCTTCACCACTTGGTAATGTTATACAATGCATAATTAATGGAATTACTAGTTCAGCTAACTGAAATGCATCCTTTGTTGTTTCAAAAAGAATTCAAATCGCATAATTCAAATTCCTATGCGAATTAATGGATTTATTTGTTGTATGCATGTATTCAGTTACCTTTCCATTTTCCATTTCATCGAGAATAACTAAATCAATTCTTCCTTAAGATCGATAAAAATAAGGAAATTTAGCAACAAAAATTTAAATTATTCATACCTGTGAGCGATCTGAACGAAGTAAAGTCCATAGTTTTGGTATGAGTAAATTTTCCTGCGCCCAAATCAAGTAACCTCGATGTTCACGACGAGCGTTCAACAACGATTCACAGTGAAGACATAAAAATTTCACTGTTGTAAGCATGAAGTAGTGCGCATCTGCTTCATGTTCCATTTCCAGATTCTACAAGTAAACAGTGACATTTCACAATACGTAATTCTATCATTCACGCTACCACTCTTTATTATTCACTATTCGTACTATCACTCACTGTCATCTATCATTTGTACTATCATTTGCTATCATCTGTGATAGTGAGCTAATGATGAGTTACATTATGAAAGATGAAAATGTTTTTTTGAAGGAAGAAACTGAATCGACGAGATTCACTTCTGGATCTCTCTCTCTCTCTCTGTACTATCAGTCATTCTTGAAAAATATTTTTGAGATGAACAATTAAACTTTAGCTTTAATTTTAACCGTTAAGATGGAATGGATAAGGCGAAGTTGAGATGGCAAATCAGAGAGTGCGAAGCGGAAACGTCCCACCGAAGTATTCCAAAATTTTGTTGATTGGTTTTCCACTGTATCTTCCATTGGTGATCCTTTAACATTTTCTACCAACGACGATGTTATAATATGACACGTTTCACGTCCTACATCTGTCTCCGTCAACGTTGTTGCGTGTGCAACAGCTGTTTCTACCTGGTACAAGAATTATTTTGCGGTTCATTAAAATATATATTATTGCACCTTACAAAATAGCAGTAATACTATTAACTTTTTTTTAAAAAAAACGGATCCTTAATAAAAAAAAATTCCAAAGTGGAGTATCTTTGTATAGGATTCTAGCAAATACTAGCGGTCTAAATAAATAAAATTATCAACTTGGATAAGTAAAAAGTAAAATAAGCGAGCCTAAAGGACATGCACTGCATTCTCACTGATTTTAGGTAATTGCGCCAACCTCTTCACTAAATAATAGGTCAACAAATTCGATGCTTGTTTCATGGATAGTAGCCGTTTGAAATTGAAGTTCAACACTGTGCTGTGGTGTTTCTGACTTTTGGGTAAGCGATGATGGCAGAGCATCCGATATTGGTGCCACAGCTGATGGAGCAGATTTATCAACCAGAGAATGTTTTGGCGACATATCAGCAATTTGCTTTTTCCAGTCAATTATTGGCTGAAAATAGAAAGACATCAGTAATGAAATTTTCTGAATACTTCAAATATGTTAAAATGAAATACTGTCGTAGGAAACACTAATGTACCTCATCAGCATGAACTGATATACGAAGTTGTTCTTTGGGAGATAATCGTTTCATAAGTTGAGCAACAGTCTGATAAACAAATACAGATTGTTGACAAGCCGAACAATCCAGAAATTCATCCAATTCCGGATTATCACAACTATGTTTGCAATGTGCGAATGGTTTTTGCAGTATTACGGCACATGTGGAAAAGATCGGTTCAGCCATCATGTTTACTTCATGTTGTAATTGATCATTTAAAGATATCTGCAATTATCACCGCAATGAATAGAAGAGAATTGAATGATTTAAATTAACTACTCTATTTAATTCTAACAATATAGTCCCAATGAAAAAAATAAGGAAAATACATCAATATTAGTACCACATAAATTGAAATAGGAAAATGCATGAGGTAATTCTTGACTTTGTATAATAACCGAATATCGGTGTAAGATCTGATGATTAGTGCAATATAATTCGGATCTTATCATATATTCGATTACTTTCAACATATTGTTGAATATTTCTAATTGATCTGATAATATATAGCTATTTATTCGGATTTCTATTAAAAATACCTGCTGAGAAATGATATCGATCATGGAAACATAAAGAGATATATTTTCCTCCTCCAAACCATTCTCATTATTTCGCTTTGATTCCATCTGTGATATTCGCAAAGCACATTTCGAGAATGCGTCAAGCAAGATTGATAGTGGGATTGAAATCTCCATCAATGACAAGGCCTAGAATGAATCCATTCCATGAATTTTTGGTTATAATTTGAAAAAAACGATTGCTTATCACTCAGAAATTTCTAGCTAGATTTTCCTTTTGCGGAAGTTTTTTAAAACTTTATACTATGAATTTACTATTTTGAAAACCCCGAATTTCAAAATCTAAGTTTTCCGAGATTTGAGCACAAATTCAAACTGTTTCGAAAAATTTAAGCTTCCATCATTAACCAAATCAAAAAACTGACATAAATCCAGTCGAGTGCATTTGAAATATTTTTTTCATCGCCTGTTGTCAAATGATCCGTGACAAACTGATACAGCTGTTCATTATTAAAAGGTAAGGGACGAAGATCTGGTTCAAATATTTTGCTGCAAAAAAACAGTAATTTTAAGGCCAATACAAAAATGATAAATACATTCATTAATTAAATTAGTTGTAGGGAGGACATGTGTTTCGATTTAACGAGTAATACCTAAGTAGTATTTTGAACTCGGAAAAGTCATCGTTCTCCATCAAATCACATATGCTTTGCATCCATTGTGGTATTAATCGATTCCACGTATTCAGCGTAATAATATCATACGGCATTATCGCTAATAGCTTATGAAGTCCATCGCGCATTTGTTCTTTTTTGTTGAAAGCCTATCCCAGACACCACCAACCTGAAAAGTAATTTCCAAGATAATTCAAATTGTCCGAATCACAATTGTATTCTTTCGTAATCAACTATGGATATTTGGATATTTTTCATAGATATTTGTAGTGTGATTGAGTAATTAAATAACTTTGCTATTCAAATTTTAGGGCTTTAGTACGTTGGATACAAAAAATGACAACAATTATTTCAATCAAGTCAAATCTCAACCATTTTAACCTTCCTTCGATAAATTTAAATTTTGATTTTCAGTGAGAAAAGAAATTGAGAAATATCTTTCATAAACAATCAAAATAGGAAGTAATGAACAGAACCTGAGCATACTCTGGCGGATTTGGCATTAAAGTTTCAAGAAAGCTTTCGTAATGATTCATAATTGCCAAATTAATCCAATCCAATACAAACTGCAAAAAAAAATGTAACAGAAAAATCCTTAGCTCACTAATTAATTAATGTCTATAAAGTTTTCCTTTTTAATATCAAATACAAATCAAAAAAAAAAGAATGAATTCGAACATTACACCTATTTAAGAAATTATCGATCATTCATTCTCATTTTTAGCACATAGGAAAAAGGAGGATTCCCTCATCAATTTATTCCAGACAATTAATTAATTCTCCCTTAAAATTCTTTCATTATTTTCAGATGTATTTATTATTCATACTGCAATTTTCTCATTCCATTTTAATCTATCATTATAATCATTATTCACTCATCTCTCTATCATTCTTTTTTTTTTTCATTATATTGAAGCTATCCACTTTGTAAATATGAAATGCAATTCTTCACAAAACGATATTATATGATATCAAATAAGCATATAACCAAAAATATTATACTAATGTAGGACTAATACGCAATGCCTATACCTTACCAAGTTTAAAGTCACCACAGATTCATGGTACCATACTCATGTACCTATAATACTTCTAAACTTCAACTTAAACATTATTCATCTACCATTTTCATAGAAATTCAATCCATACACGTGTTTCTTCTGATTAAAAATTTATATCAGTTATTAGTGTTATCACGGCAATATTACGAGTAGTACGTAGTATTTATACGATATTAGTATCTTATGTTCTCACTGATTTGTTCGACCTATGCAAATTTTACTTTGCTCACTGATATACCTGTACCCTCTGTTACACTGAACCAAGCCACAAAATGATTCAAATGATAAGGATTGATCAATTAAGACATTAGTGATTAAAAAATTGTCCGAGTAATTTACATCAGTCTTCAGTTGTTCTAATGCAGCACCGATAGCATCATTAGGTAATAGGGCGGTTGTTGCAAACCACTGCATTAACATTGACATCATATAGGCGATCGCTTGCTAAAAAAATCCTTATCTGTTTGATAATTTTTTCTTTGTTATTAGTTCTTGTCAACTTAATAATCAAAATTTATCCGATTTCCTCAAATTCAGAAATAAAGGTTAATCCAGATTTAACAAGCATTTCTTACAAATTTAAAGTTTTAGAACTTTATGGAATTTTGGCTGTTTGAATTTAGCATAAATCAAATATCATTTTAGGTTCAATCAGTATATAGTATTTCGTTTAGTTTAATTATATTTAGCATATTTATCATTAACACATATTATATCTACCTAATAATAAATAGAGAACAAACCGGCCTAGCTTCTGGTACAGGTGGACAGATAGTTGCAAGAAGCCAAATACCGAAACGGCTTAATGTCCGTCGTTCATCAGCCATTTTATCGATCTCACGACCGAGAGTATGACCACCTTCCAGTTGTCGTAACCATTTCGGTCTTTTGCCCTCAGTTTCCGATTCTTAAGGAAAAAAGTGAAGAAAGCACCATTATTTTTTATTATAACATATTGTACTAAGTTTATTATATTATCTCCCCACTTTGCTTAAATTTCATAAATTTAATTCCTTTTTAATTAATGGGTAAATCTGCTAATTAGTTTCGTCATCTTTAAAAAGCAGAGTGAAACACTGAACAGCTTTTTGAAATATGACACTATGTTAAATATTTCCAACTTATAACCATAAATTCAAAGTAAATTAGTGATGTAATTTTGATATAACGTAATTTGACTTGTAATTCTAATATAATTTAACTTGATAAATTCAACATTTTATACTCTGTCCCTCTGTTCTCCAATAAAATCCAGCACTCTGATGTCATATAGGGACATTTGCAATCACAAATTAAAAAAAAAACCTTCTAAATTAGCAGAAGTTTCCTTCAGAAGTTTAACAATAGCTTCAACAACATCTCGTTCAAGCTCTGTTCCCCAAGCGCATTCCATACCACGATGATTGATATGTTCCTTACTACTGACGCTGTGAAGCGCAACAAGACACTCCTAAATTTACAAAAGCTTAACGAAAGTTAACAAATATTATTAATTTTCCACTGTGTGTAAAACTAGAAAAATTTGAAAACTCGCTGAATTGTATTGAAATTCAAAACCGATTTGCAGTTAAAAACTTCTCAATAATCTTAAATAAACAAAAGTTTTAAGTTTTATTAATTTAGAATCTTTGAAGTATAGCATTTATGAAAGAGATTAATATCATGTAATTTAAATGTCAGAGTATTTGCAAAAATGATAATGAATGACTTTAGGCTTACATTTCCGAGAAATGTCTTGCAAAACTAAAAAAGATACTTGACAAAGCCGCAACGGAACATACTGATGTGATCGAGTGCAATCTTCCGAGAAGCATATACCTACAGCAAGCGGCTTTGACGACTCACAACCCTGTACAAGTTATATAACAGACTGTAGTAAGATCTGATAAAAATGTCATAAACTTCAGGAAATTACTAATTACTTTAACAAATTAAAGAAAATGACAAAAAATGATAAGAATTATTAACGAAATATGAAAAAAACGTTTGTAAGATTATCAACTGGCATAAGCAAAACTTGCTTTATTCTGACAAACTGCATTACTTGATGCAGATATTGGCATGCAAATTGGTATCGTTGCTATCTTGTCTTCACTTTCTACCATTTCAGCACATTTTTTGCATAATGATATTGGTGGGGCTGTTTCACCGTACTTTATACAAATTAATGGATCAAAGCAGCACCGAACACTGCAAATTATCGTTGTTAAGATTTTAATTCGGGAAGATGTGATAATTTTAATTTTAAAACTTGAAATGTCATACCTACCAACCATATTTCATTAATCTTGACAATACGTTTTCTATCATTAATCGGATTTTAAAATATTTAAATTACCGAAATAATTATGCAGCTATAAATCATAACAGTAATCATTTACAAGATTTCTAATGAAATATTTGATTAATAAAAAGATGATAGGAGATAATAGAGAATTAAGAAAATAAAGAAATGAGTGAAGTGATTGGAATTGCTGTTTTCAAGTTATCCTACCTTGGCTCTTTGTCCACACATTTGATACTCTGACATGGCATACATGTCCAAGCTGTAAAATATTTCATTTTTGTCTATGTGAATTTCAGAAAGATTTGATCGAATAGAAAGCAATTGACTTTTTAAATTATTTTCTAAATTAACATTCTCGATTCTTAATTAATCATTTGCAAACAATAAAAAAAAGTTTTTCTTTTCTCGAAGAAAATTGGACGAAACAATCTCGTTTTTACTTTGTCCTTTTTAACAAGTATATTTTAATATCAAAGTTCGAAAACTTAATTCTTTTACCTTGAATTCGATACTGAACTGATTTACGATGCAAAATATGCTTATTATGAATGGGCCAATAGTGGAATAATAAATTAGCAGCGGCAATACGAGCTTCGCTTGTACCTTTTGATAACACCAATATCATATCCTTCAAAATTAACATTTTATAAAACTTACCTAATCATTTCATTTATCTAATTACTTAATTATTTAATTACTTTGTTTCCTTTGCACTGTGACAATTTGTTGTTTATATGCAATGGTCGGATAATTTGTCAATTGGTGGAATATATTTTCTTAAACAAATTTTATTTTAGATACTTTTTTTCAAGTAAAATGTCAATTCCATATAGAGGACGTTTGTGAGTGCAACAGGTATGATTAAAGTTGTCAGAAATATGCACTAATATCCAACGTCAAATATTTGCATAGATCGTTGTAAAGCAATAAAAACAAATGGTGCAACATAAATCATAGGGGAACTGATAAAATAAACAGATAAAATTAAAGATAGAAGAGTGTTTTACCCTGTAAACATTTTCTTTTTGTGCCAAAAGATTTTCTACAAAAAGTGTATGAAGACCTGAAAATGAAGCCAAAATTACAAATTCAGCATCAATAGAATGTCCTTCATGCAAATTAAAAGATAAAAAAAAAAAACATCCGGATTATTAACTGATTGCTAATTGATTTAGAAGACTGAACATTTTTATAGTATCAACAAAGTCAGAGGAAGGATAAAACAGTATGGACATATTGTCTTTCGGATATAATACTAATTATTATTCTCTTCCTGCTTAGAAATATAATTCATCTGAGTTTTTTTTTTCGTTCGAATTTTGATTTCAACTTTTTCTTCCTTCTTTATTCCATCATTCCTTCATCTTATGTTCATTTCATTTTTTTGAAGAACTATTAAATTTCAATACTCCAAAACTGATTACATTTTTGGACAACAAATCGATCAATAGTTTTGCTTTTTTAAAAAGAAAAAAAGTCAAGTTTAATTTTAAAAGGAAAGATGAAACTAGCAGCGAATGAATATTATAAATGACATACTTTAACTAAAATTGAACATACAGTAATTTTTAGCAAAACAAATCATTTCTACCGAATGATTCTCTCATTGATGTTTAGTCTAACGTAATATTTGCAGTATATGAAAGCTTTCCTGCAATCTCAAACTTGCAGAAGAGCTAAATAGACTAGAAATCATCCTCTTTTCCCATTTGTATAATTAAAAGTTCAAATTAGCAAAATGAGTCGAAGGATAATGAATCTTGGCAATACTAAAATGGAATAAAACACTGTCAACTACAACTCGTCAACATTTCGAAAACTAGAAGAGATAGAAAATTATAGAATCTTCTTTTCCCCCAGAATTTTTATCGAATATTTTTGATATGAAAAATGGTAAAAATTAATAAATGATTATTTATTATAGCTGCACAAAACAAACCATTCATTACTGTGTTTTATCTTTTTTTGGGTTTACTGAAATTAATTATTAGTTAATTAAGTGTTGCGCGGAAATTTTTATCACTTTTTTCAAAAATAACTTTGAGAACTGTCCTCAAAATGAGCGTAAGTATAATATCTTGACAGCTTTTAATTTTATTACTAAAATGAATCGAAACAAATTAAGCTAAATAAAGTTGTTAAAAAAGTTATCGTATTTCTTGGAATCTTAGAATGTGAAATGCTCGAAGATTTTAAATTATGACATCTAATAGTTCTAAGATTTCTGATGTTTCTCGTTTGTCTCTTTTTGATAATTATGCATTATAGCTATCTGAAATTACTTCACTACTACAACTAACTTTTCACGCATTATTGCAAAACAAAATTGGTATTTTCCTTACGCAGCGATTCATACAAGCAAATTTCTTTTAAAAGAATTGAAATCTAATTGAATAACGCATTCTTTTCGGAAATCTTTCCGAGAATAGTGAAACGCCAATTTTGCATTTATAACAACTATTCAACCGCGTTTACACAATGACATCATAATTTATTATGAAATTACGCCAGGTTTAGTATGAAAAATGCTAACATACTACGAAGATTATAAACAAAATTTATCCTTCCCCTCGCTTCTTTAAATTTGGACAATTTGATAATCATTCCCACTAATGTAAGAATTAGTAATTACGATTAACGATAATTAACAATAATAATAATAATTAATAATAATGATAATAATAATAATAATGATAATAACAATAATAATAATAATAATAATAATAATAATAATAATAATAATAATAATAATAATAATGATAATGATAATGATAATGATAATGATAATGATAATGATAATGATAATGAT